GGTGGCATCGTTACACATTCAGTATTTTTGGGCCAAAGATGCCAACAATGTACTCTACTTTAACTTCAGTTAAGAGCATTCATAAGAGCAACATTTATTGTATCAATAAAACGTAACAAAAAGGTTCCAGGGTGGACATTTTAGCAAAATTAATCTAATCCAGTTCATTTAATTGTAGTTGAGTTTTCCCTTACACTCTTGCCGACATCATCCTTGGAGGAGACCAAGTCTTCCATCTCAGCTTTGAGCAGCTTATTGGCCCGGTCCAACTCATTTTTTACGTCTGTCATGGTCTCCAGCTCACGAGCCAGTGTCAGTGCTCGCGTTTCCTTGTCCCTGGCCTCAGCCTCAGCCTTGTCACGCTCCTCTGCATACTGAGTAGAAATAGTTTTCTCCTCAGCCAGCATCTAGGGAACAGAGAGAAGAGGAAAGGCAGTTAAAAACTAACTCAAACTGAATACAGCTGAATGAAAGTGACATCATAGAAACATTGCACAAGAATGTTTGAGAGGTTAATAAATAGTCATTTTTAAATATTAATCAAATATAAAATATAAAGATTGAGTCTTATTTGGGATTTTCTCTTTTCTTTCTTTGCACCTTTTTATTTGACACATCCTAGACAGTTGTCCATTTAGCCTTTTAGTACACGGTTTGTCTTTGCCCTGTGTCTTTGATACCTGGTCAAACTTCTTCTGCTTCTTCTCTAGGTTGGAGACAATCTGCCTCAGGTGGTCCTGGTCCACTACAAGGTCATCCAGCTCCTGCTGTAAACGGGTTTTTGTTTTGTCTAGTTTGTCGTAGGCTGAGGTCTTCTCCTCCAGTTGCTGCGTCATGCTGTCCAACTCCCGCTGGTATCGCTTCCGGCCCTCCTCTGCTCCCTCCAGGGACAAGGCCTCCTGTTCCAGCTTCTTCTTCATGTCTGCCAGCTAAAGACATGAAAGGAAAAATACAAGCAGGCCCAGTGGCTAATTAGTTACAGCTGAGACTGACAGAGAGGTCATTAGTTTTGCAGGTATTTGGTCATAAACCAGTATTGGACAAATTCTAGTTTTGACCTGATGATAGCGCTAGATGAAAACTCAGAGGATCGACAAATTTATTCCAATTTATCCTGAGAGGCACTTGAATGTCTGAACCAAATGTCCATCCAATAGTTTTTGAGACATTTCAAGAAAAAAAAAGAAAAAAGAAAAAAAGGGCAACCTCATGATGGCGCTAGATGGAAAGGTGAGGAGATCACCAAAGTCAGTGGGTTTCATAGTCTGGAAACATGTAAATGTTGAGATATTTCACAGAATAAGTGAATGTCATTAGAATTGAAACTCTGGGGACCTTAAATAACTGTAGAAATATTTTGTGGCAATAGTTGTCCACCATTTTGGTCCAGACTGAAATATCTGGACAGACCTACTGACTGACACTGGCATCCATAGAGTCATGTCACTAGCATGGCTATAAATACAACACAAAGTTATTATTACTGATCTAAGACACTTCTAAAATCAACTCTCTTGAATCGTACAGATCTGAGAACAGCTGATGTGTGCAATCTGTGCACACAGAGAGCGTAACACTGTGGACCGACCTGGGCCTGCAGAGTGGAGACCTGCTTCTCCACATTCTTCTTGCTCTCTTCCTCTTCCTCCAGCATCTCCCGCAGGCTGTTCTGCTCGTCTTCCATCTGCCTCAGGCGAGTGGAGATGGAAAGCTTCTGACGAGTCTCTTCTTGGAGCAACTCCTGGAGTTAGGAAAACGGAAAAAAACACTACTTTAGAAAAACATTCTAAGTGGATTTATTTACACCAGAATATTATGTGAGTCACACTGCATCTACTATATGTTCTATATGTCCTTTATCAATTAAAAAAGCATCCAAGAGTACATGCAGTAGATGCAGAGATGGAGGAGGCAAAAAAGAGGTTTTCATTATTGATTTGCAGATTGCTTTCTTAATTAATCATTTGGTCGATAAAATGTCTGAGTATCTTTTATATTATTCTCTATTTACAGTGTTAGAAAATAGAGAAAAGCAGCAAATCCTGACACTGTCATTTTTGTTTTAAAAAAAAAAAATTACAATTAATTATCAAAACAACTGATTAATTGTTTCAGCCAGAACCTTTATTCCTGATAATGGACACCCTGTCAGGCATTATCCTTTACACAGAAGACAGACAAGTAGTAATAGCAGTAAAAATCATGTATGCATTTGTGTTTTTACCTGTGTGTCCTGCAGCTGAGACTCTATAGAAGAAAGGTCTTTGCTGGATTTGATGTTCTTGCCTTCTGCTTGACTCAGGAGGTTGTTCACGTTTTCTAGCTCTGACTAGACACCAGAGAGAAAGAAAATTAATCATCATAATCATGAAATTTGCATCAGCAACTCTATCCATCCTCACCGAAATACCATCACAAACGTTCCCCCTTCCCTGTGAAGAGACCACTCTGCACTTTACCTGCATCTTGGTCATCTTTTCAGCCGCCTCCTGCCTCTGTCGTTCACTTTCTCCGAATTTGACCTGTAGTTCTTGAAGCTGTGCTTCAGCCTTCTTGCGACGGTGTTCGGACTCGCTCTTCCCTTGTGTCAGAGTCTTCATCTCGATCTGCAGCTCGTTCCACTCGCTGTCCAGGGCCTGCTTTGCTTTCTCCACAGACACCTTGTTCTGCAAAAGTGCCACACATGTTACTGGTGTTATTCAAATGTTTGTTAAGCATTGACATATTTCTCTTATGACCACCCCATTTGTTACCTTTTTGGCCTGTTCCAGCTGTTCATTGAGCTCCTCGAAGGCCTGATTGTGTTTTTGTCTCATGTCGGCCATCTGCTGCTCGTGGATCTTGGCCTCGTCCTCCAGGGTCTTCTTCAGCTGGGTGACCTCCGTCTCACGCTTGGTCCTGGAAAGACAGAATGAGGAAGTACAAAGAACGAGATGTGAGAAGAGAAATAAATAGTTTTTGTTATGTTTCCACAATCGTGTTGCCCTCAGAGCCTTCCACATGAAGACTTGGGTCAATCTGTCCATCTAACACTTTGGTGTCAGAGTATATCAACAACTATTGAATAAATTACCATCATTTGCTACAAACATTTACAGTCCTCTGATCCAGTAAGTAAAACATCTGAGATTTAAAATTTCTCAATAGATAAGAGTATTATCCCCAAAAAAAAACAACCCACGCTTCTGGCAGCAAAACGACATAGGCTTGACTACCTCAGCTCCTGCTGTGCTGCAGTGGAGTCCAAAGTGTCCTCCAGCTCAGTTTTGAGGGCCTCAAGCTCCTCTCCCAGGTCCCTGCGGTGTTTCTCAGCCTTGGAGCGTGCCTGCCTCTCGAGCTCCAGATCCTCCTGCAGTTCGGAGATCTGAGCCTCCAGCTCCCGGATCTTCTTCTGGGCCGAGTTCTTGGCAGCAGCTTCCTCCTCGATCCTGGAGGTAAGATGAAGAGGAAAGATGAGACGACCAATTAAATCAAATTACTTTAAATTTAAATTTTTTATATTTTTCATTAAATTATTTCTTTTTTAACCTGGCCAGTGCAGCATGGAGTTCCTCCTCCTTCTTAGCCAACTGAGCTCGGAGTTCAGCGATCTGGGCCTGCAGGTCTGCAATCTGGTCATGGAGCTCAGTGGAGTCTCCCTCAAGTTTACGACGGTTCTTTTCCAGCTCCTGACGCACTTTCTCCTCCTTTCTTAGGCGATCTGCATGTGACAAGAAACCCAAATTTGAAGAACTAATTCGTTTAATATTGTTTTTTGGCGTGGAATGCAAACAAAAAAATATAACTTGCCCTCCAAATCTGTGATCATGGCTTCGTGTTTATTCTTGAGTTTCTGCAAACTTTTGGACTTCTCTTCCTCTTCGGTCAAGTTGGTGGTGAACTCTGAGATCCTCTCCTCCAGCTGTTTCTTCTCCTGGGGTTTAAAAACAAGAAATAAAATGACTTGTTGTCCCAGATGTAATTCGCGTTTTATTTACCGTGCACTTTCCTTCCATACAACTTCACTGGAATATTGGTTGGACTGTATGGACTATTTTTTAGTTTTATTTACTGTACTATAAAAGTTAAATGAACATGTTGTATGAGACCTTGTTGAGCTTGTTGTTCTGGTCGTCCAGCACCATGACGTCCTCCTCCAGCTTCTTCAGCTTGGCATCTGTGGTGACCTTCTCCATCTGCAGCTTCTGCCTGGCTGCTTCCTCCTCATCCAGCTGCTGCTCCAGGTCCTGGATGAACACAAACAATTTGCAATGCATTTTTAATAAAGTTTTTTCATCACCTGTCACATTCTGTATCCCCTGTATCTGTATTTACTGACCGTGATGTTCTGCTGCATTTTTTTTCTCTCTGTTTGCATCTGGGTAAACCTCTCCTCCTCCTCCTCCAGGCGAGACTCCAGGTCATGCAGGATCTCCTCCAGCTCCTGCTTCCTGGTGGCCAGACGAGATCTCATCTCCTCAGCCTCTGCACACAGCTCCGTTTCTGCCTGCAGCTGCTCTTGAAGAGCCAACTTCTCAGCATTCAGCTAGCAGAGGGGAGTCAAAGTTACAGTGAGAGTGGCAACATTCAGAAGTAAGAAGACTTGCCCTAATGATTCATGACCCATATGTTACTGCAGCAGTATGCAGACTCCTACCTGTTGCTGCTTGGACTCATATTCTTTGAGCTGCTCCTCAGTCTGCAGTTGTCTCTCCTTCACCTTGATCAGCTCATCTTCTTTGGCCAGCATCTCCTCCTCCTGCCGAGTCACTTGCAGCAGAGGCTTCACCTAGAAGAAAAAAAAGAAAAAACGTTAATAAAAACACATGCTGATGTTGTACTTTCCTCAGGGGGAGGAAATGGAATCAGGAAACAAGACAGAGTCAGTATCTTTTAAAAAAAGATTATATTAGATTATATAGATAAATCAGATTACAGATAAATCAGTATCTCACAAATGACGTCAACGCATGTAATCACAATCTGCACTAAGAGCTATAAACTTCAGACTTTGACCCAAGTTGGAATAGAGTTGCAAAAAACTCAACTTGGATATGTATATGTCTGATATTCCTGGAGGCTCGATTTGACTTGAGACTTAACTTGGTGACACCTAAATATTGAAAAACGTCTGCACCTTTTGGAGCACTACCAACTCACCATGAATGATTTAAAAAACAGAAATGGGATGCGCACCATGACTCCATAACCTTATACACACCCACTCCTGCTGGCACCAGAATAAAATGGAGAAAACTCAAAATTCAGATAGTAGAAATTAGTTGTTTATTTAAAATATTAGCCTATATACACAAATTAGTAACTTAATAGTGTCCTGTTCTTTTAGTTTTTAAAAAGGAGATTTATTTTTATTTTTTGTGAAATATTGAAGAATGTGTGTGTCAACGTGCTTTGCTTGTTTATTGTACATCAGACAGGCAGCACAATTTATCTGCCACACAGTTAATCTGGGGTTTTGATTTGGGGTCAACAGAAATCATTGCTCAGCTATATAATTTATAACTTGATTTAAAGTCTACTGAGCAAGTGATTCATAACAGTTTTCTTGTTTTTGTTGAACTTGTTGAACACCAATCATATCGTCATATTATTATATTCTGATAGTAACCATGACACTAGCATGGTTAAACTACTGCTGCACTATTACTGGGTCGACTGATAAAAGCAACTGTAACAGCCTTCATTAGTCTCTTACCTTGGTGAAAAGCCTCCACCACTGCCAGTTCCTGAGTTTGAGGTAAGCGGCACAGTTCCTCTGGATAACTTTCATGGCTGTCAGCTGCTGCTGTCTCTTAGCAAAGGCTCTAGAGTTCAAAACATAAATAACATATTTGCCATTTTGTCTAGAAGTATATTCTTGTTTCTGATGTTATGGATTGAGTTAATCCTTCATACTTGCGGGCCACATATCCTCTGCACCAGGCCTGAAAGCTGATGATCACATCAGTGATCTTCATGTCTCTCTCTTCCTCCAGGTGGGCCAGGACTCCAGCTCTGAAGAACACTTTACTTTGTCCGATACGGTACAGGTTCGGGTCCAGCTCCAGGGCTTTGATCTGACATGAGGAAGACAGTAGTGACTCAGTGGCAAGTCCTGAAGCTTGAAAATGAGAATAATGAGCCTTCTTCTGATGGAACTGATCTATTGTTCTTACCATGAGCACACAGGCTTGTTTGCCGTCCATAAAGCCCTTTGGGATGGCATTTGGAGTGAGGATTTCGTACCTAAGAGACAGACAAGCAAATTATTCAAGTAGTTGGACTCTTTTTAGAATTAAAACATGTCCATTGTTTTACTTTATGACTTATGTGCACATTCACTGCTGTAGATGTCTTATATCTGTAGTCGTTCTGTGAATGATCTTATATATCTAAATAATTAAATATAAATGTGTGTCAGTTGTGTTTTGTCTGAAAATGCTAAGGTGGGAAGATTATTACTTTAGAGGGGGGAAAATGACTTTGAGTAATTGATCTTTATGTGTTTAAGTATTATTGTTCGTTACCTCTGTCTAAACTCCTGGAAGACGATGCGGTTGGGGAAGCCCTGTCTGCAGATGCGAATCCCCTCTAGGACTCCATTACACCTCAGCTGGTCCAGAACCAGGTGAGACTCGAGTTTACCTGCCTGGAGAAGAAAGATACATAAAGCACCATCAAAGAGCGGTTTGTGTGTTCAGTCAAATTTTTTATTATTTATTAGTAGTAATAGTTTTGTTTGTTTGTTGAGTTGAATCACACATTTGTGACACCAGGATGTGCAATAAACTTGTCTAATACATGTGTCAGGACTCAAATGAGTAGTGGTTCTTTTACTGGTGCATGCCCACACGTCAAGTGAAGTAGAACACTTATTTCCATGTCTCAGATCTCTCATTCTTGTCTTATAGTTACATATGTGCCAGTGCACATTAGTACATTCACTTGCACCACGACACAAAACACATGCAAACAACACTAAGTCGTCCTGTACCTTCTTCTCGTGGTTGGGGATGATGCAGCGGACGAAGTTCGGGTTGGTGTTCCTGAGTGTGGCCATGAGGTTACCCAGCTGCTCCTTGTACAGCTGACCCACAGTGCGGAACATGCCCTTACGGGTTTTGAACGCACCGTGCATGGAGTCCGACATCCCTGCCACCTTATCCAGGCCGACAATACGGTCCACTGTGAAACAATAAAAGTGTGTTTTATGAGACGGAAATTAAATCTATCATTATTTCTCATAACATGTTTGCATAACAAATACAAATAATCCTGCTTCAGCTGACTGCAGCTCTTTTGACAAACACCAGAAGGTCTTGTGCTTACAAATGTTTTTCTACTATTCGTATATTTCAGTATTTACATTTTACTAGTATTAATTGAGGGTTATTTTAAGGTGACAAATGTAAACAAACACTTGGTAGACAAGTGTATAGATGCAAATGCAAGTTGATATTTTGGAATCAGTTGCAGGACTTACTGTCTCTCCACAGGTCAGCAGTAAATTTGTCTGTAGACTGATTGAGCAAAGTGGCCACACACTCGTTCAGAGGATCCATGTTTTTCATCAGCCACGCGTCTGCTTTGTAGTCAACCTGCACCAGAGGAGAGTTTCAAATCATGAGTATAAGCTGAGTAATTGGTAAAGAAGTTTGTGTTTGAAGACTATGTTGTTACTTTGCAGCCATCTAGTAATTAAAGTACAGTACAGTAATTTTCAGCTACTTGTACTTGAGTAGTTCCATTTTATGCTAAAAATTCCTCTACTACACTAAATTTAAAAGGATAATTTTTACACCAGTACATTAATATGACATACAATTACAAGTGAAATTGCAAATAAAGATTGTTCGAATAAAAGTTTATGATCAATTAATAAAATCAGATTCTTACAGATCAAAGTACCAAACTGTAAAAACCCGGAGTATGCATGTAATAACTTTAACAAGATATCACTCTCGAGTCCATTCTGCTTTAGGAGTTACTTTAGATACTTTAAAGTAAACTTTGGTGATAATACTTTGATCTGAGTACTTATTTTACCACTGTGGTAATCATTTATCATTCACTGACTTTAGACGTCTGCAGGCCAGGAGGACAAGTTCACTCAGGAACATCAGGAACTTGTATATTAACTGACTTATATTGTCAAGATGAAAAATTAGGACTTTGGCCAAGAAAAAAAACTATACAGCCACTAAATGAGCAGAGAAATGTTGTCCAAATACACATGTTCAATAGGCTCAAATCCAAATAAATACATTATTAAAAATTCATTCAACAACACAAACAAAGTGAGTGTCAGTGACCTTTCCAGCATAGTGCATAATGCAGAAATCAACGTCGTCCTTGAGTTTCTTTGGTTTCTGGAACTTGGGGTGAGTTCCCTGCTCCTGAACCACCTTCTCCACAAAGCTCTTGTCTGTGGCTTTGGGGAACCAGCACTCTTCATCCAGCAGAGCCAAGATACCTGGTGGACCGGCCTGTAATGAACAGTGGGAAAAACAAATAGGACAAACACACGTCAGTCAAGTTCAAAGGAATCCGGACTAATCAATAATCTATGTGCAGTTAGAGGCAGTGACTTCTGCAGGAAGCTCTTAATGTGACAGACAGATCCTGTTCTTGAGGAGGAATAATAGCTGGGAGACAACTTACAGGTTTTTCAATGAGGTCGATACAGGGCTGCAGGTCGAGGCCGAAGTCGATGAAGCTCCACTCTGATGGCCCTCCCTCTGGTACTCCTTTCCTGCTCCCAGGATGAACATTGGTGTGTGGTTGAAGAGCTGCTGCAGCTTCTCGTTGGTGTAGTTGATACACAGCTGCTCAAACGAGTTCAGCTGTAGGAGAGAATTAAAAGAAACAATTACTCAACTGCCAGAATATCAATATATCTTTAAAATATATTCGAGTAAATGTTTAATCATTTTTTTATTACAATAATGTACTTGTTTCTGCTCCTTACATTTTAATATTAACATACTGTAATTTTCCTCCACATGTTCTCTTGTTTCTGTAAGAACCAGAGTGAGTGATGGAAAAAGACACAGACACGGTCCACTGCTAGCTAGCATACAGCTTGACTGTTTGGGGCAAATAAGCACAAACAGTCAAATTTGCGCAAATGACGTGTCTTTGCTTTCTGTTTGAACCATCGACAAAGTTTCTGATTGCCAAGGTTTTTCTGTGTCTGTGCACTGATAATCATGTTTTGTATTCATATGTTTTTCTAATGGATACTCCCTCACATACCCTCCCTGCCGTAAAACTATAAAAACAGTTCATATCTGCAAATTGCTGTTGCTACACTTTTAATGTTCCTCTCCTCTCAATAAGAGAACCATGACCAGCAACAGCAAGTTTTCCTGAAACGCCCCCTCCACGTCTGGAGGGTGATGGGACTGCAGACATGGTCGACACCCTGCCTGTTCATCAGGTTTTACCTGCTGTGTCTCTCCAGAGTCTTACAGTACAAGGACACTGTTAAATACCCTACCAGCATAGTACACACTCGGCTTTTTAACTTATTGTTATTATTGCATTACTGGATCTGCTCTTCAGATGCGGCCCCACTGAGTTTTCTGTGAATCAAGTCTGCCTCTTTTAATCTGAATGAACTTTGACACCTCTCTAAGATGCAGCATCAACAGACTCCTGTGCTGTTGACAGACACACAGACCGGCTGAGCCAACAGAGACCCAACAGAGACCCAACCAGAGCAAATCTGTCGAGCCCAGAACACCTTACCTCAAAGATCTCAAATCCAGCGATATCAAGGATGCCAATGAAAGAGGCTCCCTGTCTCTTGGTCTTGTCCAGGGCCTTATTGATCCTCAACACCAGCCAGCGGAACATCCTCTCGTAAGAGGCTTTGGCCAGAGCCTCGACAGCAAACTCAGCCTGCTCCTGGGTCTGGGCCTTCTGGACATAGTCCCTGCCAACCTGCAAAAAGAAGAACTCAAATGTCAGCCTGCGATACTAAAATTATCATTACATGTAATCTTGTAAATTCATTTGGGATTAAGACACAAAAAAACACCAGGTCCGAACCAAAGTGGGAAAAGGGAGGAGACATTTCTGAGTAACATTTTGAATGTCAATAAACTTTTATGTACTGATTTTGATGCAGACCTTTATTCTGGGAGACAGGATGGCTCGTGTGAAGTCGGTCACATTGATGCTCAGCAGGTGACACACTTTCTGGGCAGCTGGGGGTGAAACATGAGGATCATGTTGGAGGTTGTAAAGGTGGATTTTGGATAAATTGGGAAGCTTTGAGCAAACGGAGTGATGATGATGATGTGTAAATGTGTGTACCTGTGTCGTCAGGCATGGAGGCCTGGTCAGAGTTACGCTCCTTCTTGAAGCTCATGTTCCCCAACTGCAGCACAGCCGACACCACCTTCAACAGACCTGACAAACAAACAGAAGAGGTCACTGTGTGCTGCAGAGGAAATGATCCCATGCTGTATGAATATGTGCCACCATATCATACTTTTGATAATCTCACTCCTTAAACCTTAATTCTGTTATAATTAAGATATTCATAAAGCTCCATAATAAAAAGGTGAAGGACCACTCAAGTGGTTTGCAACAATTAGATAATTAATCGATCAGTCCATGATGGACATTTTTTGATGTTTTCATTTTCTAATTCCATCTTCCTAAACTTTTTAGTCATATGATTGTCAAGTGAATATGCTTTTTTTTTTTAAAGACAGCTCCAAAGTGCTACTAGAGGTCAGAAACTCCAGGAACCTGTAATTGTTACTTAAAATAACTTATTTGTCACAGCTCTATAAGTAAATCAAAAAGTAAGACGATAGGTACCAATTCTTTCATCTTCTGGGATGCCCATGATCTGAAAGGCTTCCATTGTCTCAGTGAACAGGTCCTTGTCCTGCTGGCCAGGAATTGTCACGTTTCCGTTGGACAGGAAACGGTACTTGCTGTAATCCTCCAGACACAACTCAGCTAGATGGTGAAAAAGAGGACAAGGTTATTTATGGAGAACTGACCAATTCAGAGACACGTTGAGCTGAGAGGGTTCTACTTGTTGCTACTTCACATGTTACTTTATTAATATCCTCCCTATTTATTTCTACTTTCATTCACATAGTGTAGTAATAAAATGTCTCACAGCGCAGCTTGTCCCCTGCTCCTGACAGCATGTAGTAGAAGACATGGAAGCTCCTCTCGTCTTTAGCTTGTCGGACAGCCCGAGACTTCTCCAGCAGATCTGGTAACATTTCAGTCAAGGACAAACAAATGCAAAAGCAAACGCAGTGACACAACAGCATCTTTAGTACAGAAGCAAGGCTCGATAACCAGAAGGCCCTCAGGGCCCTCACAAGTTTGCTGAGTCAAATTATCACAAACTAACTGACAGCAAACCTGATGCAGCGGAGCATTACAGCATGCCAATTCTGATTGGTTTGTGTCACTTTTGCCAGAATTGCTTCGGGGAAGCTGATTTGTGACCCGGGACAACCTGGCAGGTTAATCCAGCCTTTAACACTTTACATTAGCAAGTAGCATATTTTTTAAAAAAAGGATGCAAGTTTCAATGTTGGCTCCGACGATGTATCCGTTGACGTCAAAGTTGATCCTG